CACAAGCCTTCCCCCACACACCCCAGCCTCCAATATAATGCAAGGAAACCCCCCATGCCTAGTGCACGCCAAGAAGCAGTGCTGGCTGTGTGCAAGGCGGCGCGTGGAGCCCTCACAAGCGAAATAACTCACTGTCTCCACAGCCAGCTCCGAGGTGGGTGTGAGTGCTGCTTCCACTCGACAAGTCAGGAAACAGAGGCACAGAGAGGTTAAGCCACTTGCCCGAGGTCACGGAGTGAATGACATTCTTCCACAGTCCCCGGGAAGATGCCTGGAGAACTGCAGCAGTCACAGCCGCCTCTCTCCTGGCAGCACCCAGACACGCACCTGCCCCAAATCCACTACAAGCGCCCCTCCCGGAGGCTGCAATTCACCCCAGGCTATGCCAACAGCACAACAACAACAATGGGTAACAGTGACTGAGCCGGCCAGACCGTGCCCTGAGCACTGCCCATTGATTTATTCATTTAGTCCTCACCACGCCCCTGGGGGAGAGGGGTTGACTGGGACTGTTCCCATTTTACAGATGAGGAAAGCGAGGCACAGAGAAATCACTTGCTCAAAACCACAGCAGCTGGAATAGCGTCAAAGCCAAGATCGGAATCCCCAACAGGCAGCCCATGTACCCCAGTAATGTCCAAACACCCCCGATCATCGCGGCACCCCTTCTGCCCCCCCTCATGCATCCCCGTCACATACACGCTCCTCTCTCCTCCCCACTCCTGTGCCTTCCGCACCCAGTCCCCACTAGACGTGGTGCCTCCCTCATCCCACTCCATTCTCCTTGACTTCCCAGCTGCCCTCTTGCCCCTGTGGCTTCCGGAGACTATGTCCCCCCTCCTCACTCCTGTGTGTCCCCCTCTCTACAGCTTGCTCCCTGCTCCTCCAGGTCATCTGCCGGCTCCCCTCCACCCTCACCCACCACATCAGCCCTCACTTCCCAAAGCCCTCATCACACCCTGGGGTCGCCCCTGCACCCCCACTGTGCTCTTGCAGGGAAACACCACGCCCCCTTTCTCAAGTGTCCTCCTCAGATTCCTAGGACCTCCCCCCCTCCCTTGCCCTCATCCTGCCCACATCCTCCTGCACCTCTGCATGAACCCCACTGTGTCCCCTACGGCACCCTCAGCTCCTCTCATACTCCCTGGTCCCCCCACCCCCCGCCCCATTATCCGTGAGAGCCTCTTCCTCCTTCTGCATCCTCAGCTCACTCCATCACACACCTCTCCGCCTCCTGCACTTGCAGCTGCATTGCATGTACATCCCCTGCACCCTCGGTCTACGCTGCCTAAACCCCACCCCACCCCCTCACCGGTCCTGCATCCCCTCCTTACCCCATTGCTCCGCACACTCCACGCGCCCGCCATGCCCCAGTGTCCCGTACCCCCGCTTCAGCGTGCGTCGTTCCACCCTGACACCCTCCCGCCCGGACCCGCTAACCCCACCCCCTGCTCCAGTCTTGCTACCCACGCAGCACCCCATTCATGATCCGCGCTGCTGACTACCTGCCGGGCAGGAACACACACAATGCTCTCCCCCCGGCCATCCCGCGGCGACCCCAGGGGCCTC